CATCTTAAAAAATCATCAGCATGGTGTTATCCTCTTATGTAACCAAGATGATTTTATTTTCATTATGCTTCAACAATTGCATCTGTACTTAAAGATTGTATTTCTTCTAGTTACTGCTTTGCAATTTTGTAACATCCTGTAGCCAGAAGCCTATTTAGACCTGACTCCATTCTTAATAATCCTCTAAAACTGCACTGCACACTTCTGTTAAATATTCAGATAATACAAAAAAGTAACATTCTTACATGGAATTTTATCATAACCTTCCAAAATATGCTTATTGTTTACCTAAAGCTCAATAAGAGCTTTGTTATAGCTATGAACATACTTCTAAAGGAAACTAATTATAAATGAAACAGCATTAAAGGAGAGCACTTGATGTGATGAGCACTGGGTCTTGTAGACAACTGATGAATTACTGAACTCTACATCTGAAACTAAGTACACAGTGTGGCTGGAATCTGTTGGCGTGGGTGGTAGGGGATAAGATGGTGGGGGGGTGCTGGGCAGAGGACATAGAACTGTATCAAAGAGATGTCACTGAAGGGTTTTAGTGGACAGTGGTATGATCTATTTCCTTAGAAGATCACTCTGGCTGCTATGGAGAGAGGATATTTTTGGGAAGCAAGAATGGAATCAGGGAGATCTTCTGAGTAGCGAATGTATACCAACTGAAACAACAGGTGTGTCAGAGGTCTCAACACCAACAGTGGACTTGCTGATGGGCTGGGTCATGAGGAGGGGGAAGGAGAACTGTGGCACAATTCGTTGCCTCCTACTTCAGCAAGCAGTAGATATTCATGTTCTTTACTGAGACAGGGACAACAGGGAAGGAATAGGCTGGGGAGAAGGAGAACAAAACCTAAGAGTTCGGTCCTGCTCCTGCACTGGGTGTCCTGAGACATCTTGAGTGAACGTGTCAATTAGGAAGCTTGTCACATAAGGCTGTATCTCAGAGGAGGCAGTCCATGACAGAATTATACATCCACAAGTCATCTATATAAAGACCATATCTAAGGCCAAGGGTGCAAAATAAAATAATAAGCGATGGGTCTTTATCAGGTAACAATAACCATGGGAAAAAAAATAACCATGGAATCTATCATGTTTCTCTTCTGGTTGGGCTGCCAAAAAGTTCCAAACACAACATGAATCTTAAAGGACAATTATCTTCTTGGGGATTCTGAGTTATGATAATCTACCTCTTTTATTTTTCTTCTTTTGTACGGTGTCTAGTCTTCTTTCATGCAAACTCTTACAGTCTATGTACTATGAGAAAGAAGGGACAGAAAAAATGAGGTAGTGTAATGACACAATTAGGGAGTCAGGAGGACTGGCTCCTACATCTGAAAAGTCTCCAATTACAGACACATTACCTTAACCTTATCTGGTGGTTTGTGCCTCTCTCATTGACTCCAAGCTCCTCAAAGGCAAGAACCCTCTCATTCACCTTTGCATTGCTGTGAAAGGGGCCAATGTCCAGCTCAAGAGTACCCAGGCAATGCTTAAATACTCCCAGTACCTGTCATATATCCATAAATGCAAGGGACTGAGGCCTTGCTCCAGTCCTCTAAAGCTTAGTTCTAAATTGTTTTAAACGTTGCACACTGTGTGATTAAATACCAACAAGCAATGCACACAAATGTTAGGTAAGTTAGGGCAAATCTTCAGGGCCTAGATTGGAAGATTTCAAGGAGGGGGAAAAAACACCCCAAACTGAACTGGCTTTGGAAGATGCACAGTGTTTGGAGATGTGGAAGCATATTTCAGAAAGCAGCTAAAAAAACAGAGGCAGTGAGGAGCCTGTTAGGGCTGGAGAGAAAGAATTTTGAAAAAGTATAGGGGGGAGGGAGCCAGAAAAAACAGTGTGGATATCTACTTCATGTTTCAGAGTGTCAGGAAGTTACAAATTTCTGAGAACTTCCAAGAGATGTTCAAGGAATATCACACAAATTTACTGTGTAGAAAGGAGAAACTGTCAGGGCCTAGTCTAGGCATAAGTTAGTAAGAATCTGACAAAAAGGAGGCCACAGGTTCCAAAAAGTCAGAGTCCACCAAAACTTGGTGAGTGATGTGAAGTGGACAGAGAGGAAGAGATGGTGAGATTATAATCCAGGGCCTGGACCCCATGGGTCAGATTAGTAGTATGATTAACAGAAATAGAGATAGGGGACACCTGGGTGGCTCAGTGGTTAAGCGTCTGCATTTGGTTCAGGGCATGGTCCTGGATCCTGGGGTCAAGTCCCCAATGAGGCTCTTCGCCGAGAGTCTGCTTCTCCCTCTGCCTATGTCTCTGCACACTCTCTGTGTCTTTCATGAGTAAATAAATAAAATCTTAAAAGAAAAAAAAAACAGAGGTAGCAGGAGGAAGTGATTTTAGAAAAAGATAATACGCTTAATTGTAGGCAGAGTAAGTTTCAGAAAACAGTGGCCACTCTCTGTCTCCAGGCCCTCTGCCCCTCACAGCACAACGTGTATGCAACCTGCTGGAGTCCTGGTAGAGAAAAATCTTCCTAAGAAGTATTCTCACAGAAATATAATAGAGAAATTCTTCCATATATTACAATCACTCCATGGCTGCAAAAGCAAACTTGATGGATAAAATCATAAACACAAAAATAAAAGAGGTGCCCAAAATTGTCTACTTCTATAAAGCACTGTGAGTTCACATTTAGATGTTTAAACAAAATATTATGTGAAAAGATGCTCAACATTGTTTAGCCAGGAGAGAACCGCAAATTAAAACCACAATGACATACCAGTACACAACTATTAGAATGGCTAAAAATATTTTTTTAATCTGATGATATAACAAGTGATGACAGGGCAGCAGAGCAACTAGAACTCTCATACATTGTTGCAAAATGGGACAACTGCTTTAAGAAACAGTTTGACAGTTAAACTTATTAATTAAACTTATACTTTCCCTATGACCTTATTCCTAAGTACCTACCCAAGAGAAACAAAAACATATGTCCCCTTACAAATATCTGTATGCAAATTTATAGCAGCTTTATTCATAACCATCAAAAACTGGAAACTCAAATGCATTTCAACTAGTCAATGGATAAGCAAACTGTACTTCCGTACACAATGGGATACTACTCGGTGACAAAAAGATTCAAACTACTTACAGGCAAAAATATGAATGAATCTCAAAAGCAAATTAAGTGAAATAAGCCAGGCACAAAATGCCATATATAGTGTATGATTCTTCTTATGTGATATTCCGGAAAAAGGAAAACTGGAAATATTTTGTATTCTGGTAATGGTGGTAGTCATAAACATTTGTCGAAACTCATAAAAATGTACATTAGCAAAGGGTGGATGTTCCTGTATCAAAATTACTCGATAAATGTGACTTAAAAAAAAGTAGCACTTTAACATTTGCTCAAAGACAACTGTTAAAAGTGTAACATTATGATCTATGATTACTCTGAAAAATTCTAGACATTTCTTAACTAGTTAGAATACTATAAATGTCCTTAATACTGAAAAGAAATAAACCCCATGCTTTTTCCCTTTTAGACCGCAAAACATTCCTATGCAAAGATAGGGTGTAAGGATGTTAGCGAGTGTGCAGAAGCTGCGTGAATGCTGGTTATTGAGACACTAATAAAGTGAGTCTTGTTTGCTGGACAGCTGTTGGCTCCATTGTTCTTTGGTCACACACAGAAAAGGAGAGCTGTTCTGCTCATGGAATGTGACCTTCTCATTGGATAGCTGTTACATCATGCCCAGAAACACTGCCGAAGAAATCCATTCTCACCATGTACCACAAAGAAAATGGTCAAAACAAAAACAATGAAAGACCCAAGAAACTATATGTAAAGTATAACTACAAAATAAGCTGTGCTACTTAAAATCAGATCATTTGTAAGAATAGTTTGTTGATATGTAATATTCCATAGTTTCTTTTGTATGAGAAATGTTTTGTCTCATCTTACTATCCTTAGCGTATAACCTCCGAGTACAATTTTTTTTTTGACTTTTCAAAAGACAGGCTTTGATTACTAATTCCATGTAACTATGAGACTAATTACTTTTTGTATTATCAAATGCATACCTAGGTACTTTGCCATTTTACAGTTTGGTCATTTACAAACCATTTTCACTTGGACAAGGATTTTCAAAATCTTTTAATCATCATGGATAGTACTAGACACATTTTACATTGCAACCCAGTACAGAGACGTGTCCATGAGCAAGCCACATTAAGATTTTACAAAATAAGACTTAAACTTACCACATAAGATGTTCTCTACTATTTCCTTTTCTATTAGTCTTTAAAATGCTGTCAAATATCTACACAATCCATATCATGACCTACAATTTTCAAAACCATTGCCCCAGAAGATTAAAGAAAAACATTTCATCATGTTTTAAACACAGGCTTTTAAAAATCCATTTTATTATTTGTAATGAAACACATGAGTGACCTTCCCTGAGGCTGACTCACAAGTCCTAACACTCTGTTCCCCCTAGGGAGTCCCATGCCTGGCTGGGGTGAGCAGCAGACATGGAAGGGACGGTCAGGGCCCATGGCCTCACTGCTCCCTCAGTTGCCAACCACTACATGTGAGTGGGGGAGGCCTCAGCCAGTGGAGGCCTATAGACACTCGGGGGCCTTGCTTTCTTTCCATTTACAAACACTGTTATTCCTTAACTTCTATACATATGCACACATGCACAGATGAAATAAAATTCAGCCAAGGAGAAAAAGAGTTGTTGCAAGAAGAAAGAAAGTAAAGCAAATTTTTTCCTTAACATCCGTGGGTTTCAGTTATGCCTGCTATACTCAGCTTCCACTACCACAGATATCAGAAAAAGATTAGAAGACTGAATTGGCATGTAAATCACATGCAGAAAGTATTTTCAATTACCAACAATTTTGAGTTTTTAAACTGCTAGTCAATATCATATTCTGCTACTCCATACTGAAAATGGTGGGTATTTATGATAGTCAGAGAGAAATTTTATATGAAAACTGGAAAACTTACTTTTAAGGACTCCCACATGGGAAACTGGACCAATGAGAAAGGAATCTGAAGAGGAAATAAAAAAATCAAAAAAATTAGGAAAGATCAGAGTTTGCCTAGCATTACTACATGAATCTATAACTATTATTTAGAAACCTTAGTTCATTTTTATTTTATTTATAAAATAAAGCTAAATTTATTAAAATTTAAAATTAAATTTATAGGTATGGTAGACATAGTTTTCAGAGAGTTAAGCTGTAACTGCCTTTAGAGCTCTGCTAACTTTCTGAGCCCAAGGGACAAAAAAATGATGATATAAAACCCTTTTGAAACAGAAAGAGAAGCACAATACAGAAATCTGGCTACCGAAATGACAAAATAAATATTTCCTAACACAACCAATAAAGACTTTAAAGACTTGACATTTTTCTGCTGAAGAGTTAGAGCTGTCTACTCCTTAGCAGGCCAAGTGTTTGAGCTTGAAACAGAAACAGGGAAGGGGAAGAGGGCGGGGGGTGGGGGTGAATGGGTGACAGGCACTGAGGTGGGCACTTGATGGGATGAGCACTGGGAGTTATTCTGTATGTTGGTAAATTGAACACCAATAAAAAATAAATTTATTAAAAAAAAGAAACAGAAACAGGGAGAGGGAGGAAGATGCAGAGGGAGGGGGAGAGAGGGAACAAGTGGGGGGGCAAAGGAGGGCGGGGAGCGGGGGAGGAGGTGGCAGTGAGGGGAGCAGGAAGACAGAGAAAAGGAGGGAAAGGGAAGGAGAGAAGAGGAGTGAAAAGGAAGAAAAGGAGGGGCAGGGAGGGAGGGAAGGACAGAGAGAGGGAGCGTAAGGAAGGGATGTCCAGGGGAGGCACAAGAATGAACAGAGCAGGTAGGAAAGAGAGGAGAGGAGACACATAGAGCCACTTACAAGAGGAAGCTGAGAAATAGGGACAGAGGAACAGAACAGCCAGTCTGACAGTGGGAAGGCTCAGCTTGTCAATGGTGCAGGAGTACAGGAGCACAAGTGGGCCTGAGGACTGGCTAGTCCCCAGAGTAGGCAGGGAGAGGAGTCATCTGCAGTAGCCCAATGTGATGCTGAGGACAACAGCACACTGACGGCAAGTGTCTGCAGTCAGGTGGTTAACACTAAGAACTAGAACTACCAAGCGCTTCTCATGTATCAGGTACTGTGCTAATAAGCACTTCCTGAGCTTTATTTCACTCCTCTCAACAACCCTGTATGGCAGTTAAGTATTATTACTACCTCCATGTTACAGATGAAGAGGAGGTTCAGGGAATCTGTGTAACTTGACTAAAGACGCCCTACGAAGCCCAGGCAATCTGACTCCAGAGCCCTTTGCTACTCTACCTAGAAGACATCTAAGTGCATTTATCTGCACATAAATTCACCCCCAGTAGAATCTGCTTTCAATGACATCTCCTAAAATTTGAAAACAGAACCACACCACCCTATTTCCTAAGACAAAAACACCCGAACTCCACTCAACACCACCCACTAGCCTCTGTGACACCCAGTCACTGCCCAAAAGGGCTGTGCTGGGATGATGCTGCTCTGAGCAGGCCATGGCCCCAGCATTGTTTTCTGTATTCAGCTCAGCTGTAAGTTAAGAGTAAAATATGGACTTTGAACATTATCAATATGCATATGGGTATGTGAGTGCTTGAAGTGTGTGTGTGTGCTAGAGACCACTACTTTGAAGGCATTAATGGATATTTACCTTCAAATGAATCAAGGGCATTCAATTACTCTGAAGGATCTACACTTAATCACAAATTAAAAGTCTAACATCATCTGTCTTACTCTGCTGGAGCGAATAATGGTCGCTCCATGTGAGAGTGGACATGGAGAAAAAAATCTGTCTTCCCTTCAGGCAGGAAGTGGTAAGAAGAAAAAAAATCAATGACAACAATCCAGTTTAGGCTGACAAAAAGAATCTCAGAGAAGTTTGCTGTCTTCATAATAGGCAGCATCCTACCCTGGATGTCAAAATTCCACAACAGGAGTGAAACGGAGTTTAGTTTTTTTGTCACCAAAACATGAAAGCAGTGACAAAAAATCTATTCTGAATCTAAAGTTCAATTATATTAGCTATTTAAACCCCCCAAACTGACTGTATAATAGTTTTCTTTTTTGAGGGAGGGAGTGGTTTAAGATTTTATTTATGTATTTGACAGAGAGAGTTGCGCGCACACAAGCAAAAGGCAGAGGGAGAGGGGAAAAGCAGGCTCCCCTCTGAGCAAGGAGCCTTATGTGGGGCTCAATCCCTGGGACTCCAAGATCAGGACCTGAGCCTAAGGCAGACGCTTACCTGACTGAGCCACCCAGGCACCCCTGTATAATAGTTTCCTAAAAGATTTTCTAAATTTCAAACAAATGCATAGCATGTAATAGAATATCCAAGAAGACTAAGAGGTACTAGGATTATAGATGATTTTCATTTTCTTCTTTGTACTCACCCCTCCCAGATGTAACTTTATCACATTTTAACAAGAATGTAAATATTTCATATTTATAAAATTAAAAAAAGGCCTTATAACTTATTTTAATGGTCCACAGAGGCATTTTTTACTTCTGGATTAAAATAACCTGGGTTGCCTGGGTGGCGCAGTTGGTTAAGCATCCGACTCCTGGTTTCAGATCAGGTCATGATCTCACAGTCCTGGGATCCAGCCCCACAGCAGAGTCTAGGGTCTATGCTCAGCAGGGAGTCTGCTGGAGATTCTGGCTCTCACTCTCCCTCTACCCTACGCTCCCCTGTCCCTGATGGTAGACACTCAGGTCTTCTTTCTCAAACAAATAAGTACATATTTAAAAATAAATAAGTAAAAATAAAAATAACCTGTAAAACTTCATTGTAGGATATCTACGCTTTTGGGATACTTAATGTATTAGAGTTTGAACCCTATAGATGAGCATTTTGCCCATTTTCCTTTACTAAAAGCTACTCATTAAATTGTTCCTTCAAGTTTAAAGAAGTAATTTAAAAATCACACAGTTGAAATGGCCAAACTATTCTATAGGGTATTTATCTTAAAAAGTGAGCCGACAGTAAACCCCAGCTTTACTCTCTAAAACGAGATTAACTGACAGTCTAAGGTAATTAAATGCACTGTAAATGCTTAAATAATTAAATTTATTTCTGGTTTCTGGTAGTGAAATATCCCTCTTAAGATAAACTCCTGATGTGTAAAAAATTTTTCAAATATTCTTCAAGTCAAAATTCTATTGAATGCTTTTTGTCATTTACAAGATGAAGAAACAATAATGAAAATGTGTTCCACACATGTGAAAGGAGTACTGCCAGCGAATACAGCTCCCGGGCTAAAACAAACCCTTTTCCCAACCTCCACAGAACATGGGTCTGACAAAGAGCTAGCTCCCTCCCCATGTCTGGTTTGGAGTTACAGAACAGTGATGTTTCTTCAAAATGTGGAATTTTAAACCCCAAACAGATGTAAGCTGTTATTCTAAAATGTTTTATAGATGAAGAAAATGAATAGCTGCACTCAGAGGTCTTATATTCCAAAACACAACATACTCATTTTATTGCACCAAAAGTTACAAAATGGCTCACTGTTGTGACCTTTTTAATGCCTCCATTTAAGATGTTGTGTTTGAATAAGGTTGTTACGACCCAGGGCACTAATAAGTTAGCAGCAGTAAACCCAGCTACCATCAAAGAGGCAGATGCAGAGGGGAAAAAAACCTGCTAAAATTCAGCATGGATTCCACTTAGTAATAAACACAGCAATAATGCTGTACAAGAGTACATGTGAGGATTTCATGTGAAGTAGATAAAATTAAATATAGGCGTGGTGAGCAGGGGAAGGAAGTGTTGGGCATTACTAATGAAATAAAGAATTTACAAAATTACATTATGAACATGATTTACCTCTCATTAACTACTGGACCAGAATCATCACTGAAGCCAATCAATGCTTTTTTTAACCCTGAGATCTTAAAACAAGTGTCTGTGACCTTATGGTCCTTAAAAAATAATGAAGTGATTTATAACAAACCCAGGGAATATAACGATACGATTTCTAAGGTTTTATTTATCTCTAAAATTCTATTTTTCAAAAAAAATTTCTATTTTTCAGTGGAAAAAATCACATTAGAATATCACCAGTTTTATTTTTTTTTAATTTTTTATTTATTTATGATAGTCACAGAGAGAGAGAGAGAGAGAGAGGCAGAGGCACAGGCAGAGGGAGAAGCAGGCTCCATGCACCGGGAACCTGATGTGGGATTCGATCCCGGGTCTCCAGGATCATGCCCTGGGCCAAAGGCAGGCACCAAACCGCTGCGCCACCCAGGGATCCCTATCACCAGTTTTAAAAAAGACTTGATGGTTAGCTGCAATGAACATACTACTACTATGAATGCTCTAGGAAGCTTAAGTTAAAAGCTATGATGAAAGCTATTGTACCTTGGCAGAAATAACCTAAAACTCTCTAGCAATAAGACAAAAAAAAAAAGGAAACTTTTTGCTATGACTTCAAATTAATAGGGGTTTGAAGTACAGCATGGAATTGGCAGGCCTGCCATGGATACCACACTGGGTCCGAGAACTGGCTCATTCCAATTTTCAAGGGATCCTACAAGTGACCCACAGAGATGTCTCCTTTTTGTTGCCTGACAGTGTCCAAATTTCTATGACTGATTTAGCGTTTTCCACTTTAATGTTGCAGCGGTAACAAAGCGATTCTCCTCTTAAATATGCTGTGCCTTTTTCCCATTCAATCCCAGAGGTAACAAAGGACAAAGCAAGTTGAAGACCTAAAAACCTTGTGCCTCTAAGTGACTATTGTTCCAAAATTTAAAATTAAACAAAAAAAAGGTGAGAAACATTCAAAGCTGGTCTGCTAGCATTTGACAGGACAGAAAAGAATTCTAACAGTCAATACACACTGATTTTTTCAATTTAACAACCAGAATTCACTCACTTACTCTCCATACATAGAGAACAGAACATCTACCTAATAAAGGAAATTAACCTAAAAGTAGGAAAAATCTAAATTGAATTATTCCTTAGGCTTTTAAGAGATGT